AAAACAAGCTGTATTTTCCAAATGATGTAGAAATCCCTGGGGGAGTTTTTCTGCCCTGCACCGTGCAGAAGATCAGGTGGGATTATTACAGTGATCCTGCTGGCCTCAACATCTGTGAAAGTTTGCTGCAGCTCCTTTGAATAGTTACTCTGCTTAGTAGGAGGTGACTTATTCTTTTTTTCCTGTTGGCATGTTATCAGAGGAGATCACACTAATTGTGTATTTATCTAGAATTATAGTTATGAATCTGCTGTAATAAGGCAGTAATTCATATCTTGAGTGATTTATGACCTGAGCCTGCAAGCCCTCTGAATCCTTTGACTCCACTGGGATTTCCTAAGGCAAGGTCATTGCAGAATTGTTCTTTTTGCTGCTGATACCCTGATGGTGTAGAACCAGCACCTTCACAGCACCACTTATTTGTTAGCATTTATACAAAACAGGCAGACCCAGAATAAATGCAATTTGTATACTATTTTCTTATTCATCTCATTTAACAGCTCCCAAAGTCCTCTCCTGCCTTCCTCTGCTGGGGTACTTAGGTGATTTGGGAGGAGATTTAGGAGGCAATTCTTCTTCACTCTGGAACTTCTGCAGTTAAAATTCATTTAGTTCCAACAAAGGAGAGCAAAAAGGAGTGTTTATAGTCCCTGTGAAGTAATTTTAACCTAGAATTCAAAAGACAAAGACTGTTGTTGAATAGCAATGTTTATTTAGCATTTTAGCATTTAAATCTTTCTCTGTTTGGATCTGTCTTTCCTTTTGAACTGGAAGCATAAGTTTCACTGTTTGCCTGCAAAACTCTTTTTTTTTCATCTCACGCTGAATCCCCAGAAAATCCTCAAATATTCTTGTAAATCTCAAAGATACTAAGGAGTTAGCCCCCCTTCCTCCCCATTTAGACCTTTGAAGGCTGGTGTGACTAGAATGATTTTGGAGTTATAGTTCAGAGTCGGAATAAAAAATGAAGGGAAGCATTTTGCAATACCGTAGCTTGTACAATAACTAATTACTTATAGATTTTAGGTCACATTTGAAAAAGACAAATACTGAAATAAATGGATAATCACTTGGAGCTACCATTAACAGTTTGTTTAAGCACTTTGGGTTAAAATCAGCTCCGTGTCACAGCAGAGCATCTGCCTGCATCAGTGCCCGGTTGTGCCGGTGCCTGTGAGAGCCAAACTGGCTCCTCTGCAGGATCAGAAACACTTGGAGCTTGGGCTTGTGCACTGCACTGGGGGCTTGGTTGGGCCTTTGCTGGACCATGCTGGTGGGAAGAGTTAACCAAGAAAAACCTGACCAGTTCTGACACCAAGTGAGACAGAAAAAAGTCTTAGGGTTTTGAGGCCAGATGCTGCCCTCCACTGTGATGTTCAACAGAAGAAATGAGGAAATGTGCTGGCAGATTTGTGGTGATGTGATCTAAAACATCAGAAGACTTCAGAAGAGAGGGATGAAAATGCAATTAGTGACCTATATATGATGGGATGAGTTTAAACTTTAGATGTAGCCTACATGTGTATTAAAATTCTTGTCTGTCTGTCATATGAATGTAATGCAGAAAACTAATTCTTTTATTGCATATTTTAATACAATGTCTTAAACACATTAAATTGCCTTTTTTACCTCTGCAGCTGGAATCATCAATAGTTTTGCTAAGGAGGTGTGTTGTGATGCATTCAGCATAAACTTCAGGAACCCTGGAGAACTGGCTTTTAGCTGGTATACAATTTGCTTTTAGCTGGTATACAATTTGCTTCTCAGCTTCTCTCCCTTCCCATGGGGCTTGAGATGGGAAACTTCACTTCAATTGCTTCCCTGTGAATTTTGGGAAATCCTTCCAGCCACACACATATCCCACAATGTCTGGCTGCTCCCCATCCTTTCAGAGATGACAGAAGGCTCAGTTTTCTCCCCAAAAGGAGAAAACTCTCAGCTTGGCACCAGATAGCCTCTCTGAAATGTTCATCTTCTTGGAAAGGTAGTGTCAGATACATTGGAAATGCTGGTTTAGGGCTCTAGAAAAGATTTGTGTCCTCAAGGGTCTTTGCTAACTTACCTCATAAATACATGTGGGCCAGCAAGATGGGACAAAACTACCCAAAAGACCCCAATTCATCCCAAACATCTTCATATCACAAGGAACAGTCAGGAATGGGGATGGGAGCATCTGGAAATAACATCATTCCTAAGGGAAAGTGTTCCATTTTAATTAATTGTATCCCTTTTATCCATGACAGTGTAATTGCATTTTGCTTAACTAAGTCTTTTTAATTGGTGCTGGGCATGAATGATAAGCAAAGCTGTGCCACTCCTTGTTAGCTGTCACAGGCAGCTCTTTCAGAGCATGGCAGGATGGTTGGAGGGCTTTGAAGCTGGGGTGGAACAGCTGGATCTGGACATTTGGGAGGGACAGGGTGTGGCCCCACAAACCAACCTGCAAACCTCAGGGCCGCCCCTTTCTGTAGATGCAAAAGGATTTTTTGCTGCTCACCAACCACCCCATGGTGACTTGTGACACTCTTCCTGCTCCAGTGGACCTTCTCTTAGGCTGGAGAAATGAACATGTGGGGCATGAGTGCCCTCCAAAGCTGCTGCACAGGGATGGATCCCAGTGCTGAGCTTCAGGCTCCAAAGGCCACTGCTGGCACTTGTGTCCTGTCCCCACAGGGGTGAGGCTGGGGATGAGCTGTGCAGCTGTCCCTCCTCTGTCCCTCCAAGGGGACACTGCTGGCAAAATCTGAGGGTTTGCCTTAAAAACTGTATTTCTAGCTATTAAGGAGTGGGGAGCAAGACCTGTACAAGTGTCACAGCTGCCCAGCAGTCTCTGACAAACCATCAGGTACAAGGGGCTGCATCACAGAGACCTAAACCCACCTGCTCTTATTTTGCAAAATCCCTTTCTTGGATGACTGTTTGGCCCCTGCTGCAGTTACTGAGGACTGAAACCACCACAGCCTGCCTCATTCCCTCAAACCAAGCACCCCACCCTCAGGTTTTGTCTCACTGTGTGTGCTGTCAGCTGTTCCACAGGATAAAACATTTTAGTCCTTTCCTATGACACAGGAGGACATCACAGGCACCCTCTGGATGCATCTCCAGGCCTTTGTGGCCACCACTGCCTTCCCACTCCTGGGATCAGAACATGGAATGTTCTGACTTGGAAAAGACCTTAAAGATCCTCTAATTTCAAATCCCTGGGCAGGGACAACTTTTACTAGACCTTGAACTAGGATGTTCAAAGCCCCATCCAATATGGCCTTGAACACTTCCAGGGATGGGGCATACACGGCTGTTGTGGGCAGCCTGTGCCAGTGCCTCACCACCCTCACTATAAAGAAGTATATACATAAAGTAAAGAAATATCTATATTATATATAGATATATATAATATATATAAAAATATAAAAAATATATAATATATATTATATATAAAATATATATAAGTATATATGTAAATATATATCTATATATATAAAGAATTATATATATACTATATCTATAAAGTAAAGAATTTTCCCCTGACAGATTATCTACACCTAATCTCTTTTAGTTTAAGGCTATTCCCCCTTGTCCTATCACTACATGCCCTCTTTTAGTTTAAGGCTATCCCCCCTTGTCCTATCACTACATGCCCTCTTCAGCTTTCCTGCAGGTATTTGGAAGGCGCTCTCAGAGCTCTCTCTTCTCCAGACTGATCATCCCCGTCTCTCTCGGCCTGTCTTGCTGGGAGAGGTGCTCCAGCCCTCTGAGCATCTTCGCAGCCCCTCTGGCTCTGTCGATGTCGCTCCCGTGCCGGTGTCTCGGGGGAGCGGAGCGGAGAGGGATGCGCGGGATCCCGGCTGGGCGCGGGCCAGGGGCAGCCTCGGGGCCGATGATGCCGGGGCTCCTCTCTGCAGCGGCCCTTGAGCTCCCCTTAGTGCCGGCAAGGAGCATTTGAGAGCGGCGGCTCCGCGGCGGGGACGGGCCGGGTGCCCGCAGGTGCCACCGCATCCCGCCGGGGCGCGTCCGGCGCTTGTCCTTGCAGGGACACCTTTATTCATCCAAATCGCATCAACCGCGTGGGATCCAGGAAAGCCCAGCTCAATATTTTCTCCCTAATATCTACAGGTGTGTGTGTGTGTAATTTTATTTCTTTATCTAGTCAAGCATTTATTTATTTATCCATTTATTTATCTATTTTTATTTATATTTAACACCGATTGATAGCTTATTCATGCTTTGCTGTATTTTTTATTTGTCATCATTTCGCTTTACTGGAACATCTAATTTCTAAAGGCAAGAAAAGCTTAGCTTTATACACCAGACAAATAAGGGGTATTGCTACTGGAGACAGGTTAGGAAATGCTGACAGGGAAGGCAAAGGACTTAGCTAAGGTCAAAAACAAGTGCTGTGCTAAACCAGGGTAGTGTGGCACCTAGATCCCAGGCACTTATTTTTGCACTTTAATGTGTGACCAGCATAGTTTCTAAACAACATTTATATTTGCATGCCAGAGAGATCATCTGAGGATTTCTGAGCATCTGCTGTCTTGGGTGTATGCGCTTCTCTGGGGGTTTTAAGCTTAGATTCACAACTGTAGTATGATGAAGATGGACTATCCAGCTCAGCTGCAGTAAGGGCAGGTTTCTGCACACTGATCCTCTTCTCTTACTGCACTAAGCTAACGTGGACCACCCCTCCCCTCCTCTGTGGACTTGAGGTCACACACGTGTGAGCTCCTGCAGATGAGCTGATGCCAGGTAGCTGGAAAAGCTGTGAGCTGGCTCACATGCCTGAGCTCCAATTGTTTTGTGACAGCTGGGATGTTTCAGGTTACCTGTGGGTCTTGCAACTGTTATTTATTTGTGAAAAATTCAACTTTCTTTGTCAATATTTCTATGACCTGCTAAAGATGCACAGTAGCACAGCCTGATGAAACTGGGTTTGCATCATGAAGAGGAGCTTCTTGGAGAGCAGAGGCAGCAGCAGCTCCCAGGACAGACTTGGTGTCCCATCAAGCACACTCCACCCCAACATCCTCATTGTGGCTGCAGTTATTTTCACCCCAGCTGCGCTTGCTACAGTCCGTAATTGACATTTCACTCCCTGTGCAACTCACATCATCAAGCCAAATTTGTCCGGTACCTTTGGAAGATTAAACAAACAAACAAACAAACAGAAAACCGTTGGATGGGATGGGAAAGAGAGGAATATGCCTTTTTTCCTTAAGAGAGCCCTGTGGACAGTCGGTGTGTGTTGGGTTGTGTGGTTGGTTTGTTGGAAATTAAGCACTTGGGCGCAGTTCAAGCAGCCCTTGACATGCAGCTCATCCCAAGAGGAACGAGGAGATCTCTGGCTGCTGGGGCAGGTGGCCTTGCTGTGGTGCTTTCTGTGTGTGTGTAAGCCCCATGCCAGGCCTGGGGAGGGGTGGGCTGCTGTGGACTCACCTGCTGGGGCTGTGAAGAAGGTGACGGCCCGGCTGAAGCCCAGCATGCGGCAGACGACGCCGGCCTCGCGCGCGGACCAGCCGTCGTCACAGATGGTTCCCCAGGACCCTCTGTAGAAGATTTCCACACGGCCCCTCCTGTCTCCTCCCACGATTCGTACGTAATTACCAGGGCCAACTGAGAATTCAGAGGAGAAAATAACTCTATGGGTCATGCAGGCATAGGGAAAAAGGCGCTGACAGACAGAAGCAGTGACCACCAAACCAGAAGGATGTTCCCATCCCCAGGGTGGGGCCAGAGGTTTCTGGTGGCCCAAATCCAAACAATTCAAGAGCCTTCCTGCATTTGGAGACACCAGGCTGCAGCTCAGAGCACAGACTCCTTGGCTCTGTTAGCTGCAGGTTAACCAGCATGAGCAGAGGGGTATTTTGGCCCTGATCTCAGGTAGCTCTGATACCAGAAGGCAAGTGAGAGAAGAAGTAAAATCCAGTACCTTCTCCTTTTTCACCTTTGCTCCCTTTCAGTCCTGAGGAACCTGTTTCAAATTAGAAAAGCAAACATTTGACAGTTGTTGTGGAAAAATCTGGTTATTATCTAGTTCTGAATACTTGTGTGAGTTAGAGATGTCCAGACTCCTCCCCTTGTAGAAAATGAACACCCTGAAGTGACCAAGGGTATGTAAAAGAAACATGGCAGGAAAAGTACGATAACATACTGCAAAATATTCCCAATGTGCGACCCAAGAAAAGGGCCACTTTCAAAATCCCATATATTGATTCACTAGTGGGAAATGTATCTCATTCCCACTGTTACCTGTAAAATGACATCTCTGATAGACTTTGGGATCTCCAGAAGCAGGCATGGTATCTCCCCAAGTACTTGCAGGAAGACCTGCATCCTGGGATTTGATCTCCAGGGAGAGCAGAAAGGTGCTCACAGCAGTCCTCCACATTTCTGTGGAGCATCTTGGTCTCGAGGGTAGGGGTGTTTGAAATAACCCATTGAGCTCTTTCCCCAAAGCTACCTCCAGAAAGCTCTCATTGCTGTCTCCTTCTGGGGACCAGGGGATGACATGCACCCAACAGCACTGGAGCCAGCCCAGTTTCACTTCTTCCATCTTCCAGATGCAAAGCTCCAGAGGAGAAGTGCATGGAGGAGCCCCACACAGAACCTAGTTTATTTTATTTCTGAGGATTCTGTATGAACAATTAAAGGACAAAAGTATCTGGAGCACTGTTTGCTTCCCATGGGCTGTTGCAACAACCGTTTGTTTTTGTCTTTTTTTTTTTTTTACTACAAATCTTAGGTTTTTTTAAAGCATTCTGTGATTGGAAGGGCAGGGGGTTAAGGATGGAGAGTAGCTGTGGTGCTGGCCCTTTTGAACAACTTTTGTGTCCTACAGTTAGCAAGGTGTAGTTAAATAGCCTCACTGTTAGGTATTTCCAATAGCCTCACTATTGCATGTTCCTGAGTGTTTACATGGGATTTATCCCAGGCACAGGGTGTCTCTGATGTCTCTGAACAAAGCAAAGAGGAATGTGGGTTGTTCCAGCTTTCTGTGAAATCAGGGATTTGAGAAAATCTAATGCCTCTGTGTACTTGCATGTCTTGTGACACACCTCCCAGGGTGTACAGCTGACACCCTGCACATTCCTTTGCTAGGAGGGCTGATCTGCAGTCCCAAACCCAAATGTGCCACCAGCTCCACAGACCCTGTGGCACAGAGCCTTACCAGTATATCCAATCTCTCCCTTGGCTCCTTTTAGTCCTGGCTCTCCTTTCACACCCTTAGGGCCGTAATCCCCCTTGGCTCCTTTTTGACCAGCTGGGCCTGGGGTGCCTGGGTGGAAAGCAAAAAGTCATTGCCTTTGTCCCTTCCCAGGGAAAAGACATAGCAAACATTTCACATTGATGCAGAACAGTGGAATGTGGCACCTAAAGTTCCTTGCATCATCATCTTTGTATCAGAATAAATCATGCTGTGAGAGTTTACCTGCTGGGCCCTGGTCTCCCTTTGCTCCCTTTTGCCCTGGAGGTCCTAAGATAATAAAAAACAAACAAACAAACAAACAAACAAACATTTATGAACTGATGCTTATACATTTATAAAAGCTTATGCAAAGCAGTATTTACAAGTTATTTTAAATCATCAAGTTTTGGTGTCTACACTATAAGCATCTATTTCTGAATCAGGTGTCTTATTTCACATCCTAATCAGTGCAGGCCACGTCAAACAAGAAAATACAGGGATGGAGAAACATCTTCTCCTGAAGTTCATCTTAAACTGCTTCCTTGTGCATTTTCAATTTATACAAAAATTCAGGCACCATCACCCCTCACACACATTACAGATGGCAGAACCAACCCTCTGGTGAGCAGTCAGCCCCAGCAGCCTGGCAGAGCCCCAGGAGTGCCATGGCATCCTGGGGTGCACTGGGGGTCCAAGAAGAAAACTCAAGAGCTCTGCTCTTGGTGGTGTAGTTCCCTTTGTGGTGTCTGCATGTGTGTTTTTGACCCAAAACCTGTTTTATTCTCCTTTACCTGCTATTCCTTGTTCTCCCTTTGCACCTTTGAGTCCAGCAATGCCTTGTGCTCCTAAAATCAAAAAGAAATCAGTAAGAGTGAACCCATCACACAAAATGAGGCCAGAGTTGGAGGGCAATGAGTTGTAGGTTTGAGCAGGGCTGTACCTGGGCTACCTTTGGGGCCCTGGTCACCCTTTTCCCCTTTCTGACCAGGTCTGCCTTCAGGGCCAGGACTTCCAGGAGGTCCAAGTTGTCCAGTTGCACCTTGAGGTTGAGTGAAAGCAGCACAAAATGAAATGTCACACAACACATGAAGGAGATCAAAAGACAGACAGCTCAATCACCAGCCCTTGCACACTGAGCTGAGCCTGTGAAGGCAAAACAAGCACTGGCTGTCTCCAAATTGCAATCCTGGCAGTGCTAATCTTAGCAATGCAGTCAGGGGTGATCTGGAGTGAAAGGCTGCATGGAACCAAGTCCTGGCTGACTGCCAGCCTTGAAATGCACAAGTTCTTCCCAAAAGAGCAGCCAAATTCTGCCCTTATGTGTGCACAGGTGCCAGGAAGGAGGCCATGGCACTTCTTTCCCTCTCAGTCTCCTGCACAGTGAGCGGGGCCCACAAGAGACAGCCAAGGCTGCTGGATGAGTTTGGATGACATTGAAACATTGGCACGGTTTCTTCATCTAATCATCATCTTCTCTTACCCATGCTGGGATCTAGACCAGCTGCAGCTTTCCTTGTCATGAAACACCACATTAAAGAGATCAGAATTATGCCTCCACAAGAAATGGCACCTTCTGCACAGCTTACCTGCCTCTCCTTTCTGCCCAGGCGGTCCAGGCTTCCCGGGGCTCCCTGCAATGACATCCTGGCATCAGTGCAGAGCAGCCCCTCTGTGGGCAGCCCTGTCCCACTGTGCCCTCTGCACTTACCCTGGTCACCTGGCACTCCTGGGAATCCCTGCTCACCCTTAGGACCCATGATTCCCGGGAGCCCGTGGTGTCCCTTCTCGCCCTTGTCACCTTTCTGTCCTTGGGGACCTATCAAACAGCACAGCACATACATGTAAATTCAAAAAAAAAAAAAACCAAAACAGATTTGTTCTCTCTGCAGCCTATGGAGCACCTCTGTCTGGCCTCTCCAGCAGCAGGGTTTGGCCTCACACCTGCATTTGCCATTCAGTGACACTGTCACCATAAAGCTGGAGGAGGACAGAGCTGGCCTGTCTGATCCACCTCTGGCTCTGTCAGCCTCCCTGGCCAGATGTTTGCCTGGCCTGCTGTTAAAGGCCTGCAGAGGTGCCATGACAACTCTCCAGTCTATTCCCCAAACTATCACTCCTACTGGAATGTTTTCTCCTCTAGTTAAATATCCCTTACTGCATCTGAATGCTTCCCCTCTGCCAGACACAGTGGAGATACAGGGCAGCACATTCCACTCTTGTTCTTCCAGAGAGTTCTGTCATCTCCCCTTAATCTTGTCTTCTCTGAACAAGTGATCAGCATGCTCCAAAAGAGCTGAATTACTTGAAAGTGCCTCATTTGAAGACTTCTCCTTCATTTTTCTGCTCTAGAATTATCCCAAAGTCCTTGCCTTTTGGTATTCCTCCTACAATCACTCTTCTCTCCTGGAGCATCCTGTGCTAATGAGAGCATTGGGGCATTCAGGAGCTGATGGAAGATCTGAGGAAGCTCTTATCAACCTGTCCAGCTGTCCTCCCTGCTCTGCACCACACACATCACCTGCTTTCTTTTCCTCTCCTGCTTTCAGCCCATGTGAGACCCCTGAGGAACAGCCATCCATAATTCATGCTACATGGTGCAAACATGTGGCATAGCTCTTCTCCTTCAGGTGTACAAAGCCAGGCTTGTGTAAGATGCTCCTAAAGCTCTCAGAAAGGGCTTCCACTAAAATGAGGATTAACATCCACATGCCTGTGCATATAAATTATATTGTATTATTTGATACCATAGAAATCCTACTGCAAACATCACTGCTTTAATCTAGGATAGGCTGATAATTGAATATCTGTGGCTTTCATTAGACAAAGGTCACTCTGTAAAGAGACTCTCGTGGTGCAGAATCAACATTTTGCGTGGCCTCTTCCCCCAGCCCTCCTTTGGGAGATTTGCTGAAGCATGACATGAAATTAAACCCCTTCAGATCAGGTCAAGTGTCCTGTTTATCCAGCTCCCCCACTGACCGGCAAGCCACGCTCAGGACTGCTTGGGTTTTTTATGAATACTGACCAGTGAAAACTTCTCCTGGTGTTTTATGTAGAATGAGTTTAATAAGAAATATGTGTGAGAACATTAAAAATATTAAGATAGTGAAGAAGTCTTACCTGCAATCCCCATCTCTCCTTTTTCTCCTTTGGCTCCTGGATAACCACTTGGGCCAGCAGGACCAGCAGCTCCCTTGCTCCCCTTTTCCCCCTGGGGTCCACCTGTGCCTGCAGGGACAACACCATTCTTCTGATGCTTCCTGGGGTGCCATTGTAGTCAGTGCCAGCAGCAGGACACCCACCACAGCTGTGAGCCTGAGCCAAACTCCATTCTCTGTGCACTTGAGGGTGGTGCTGGTGACAGTGGGAAATTGGCCCACAGTGACTGTTGCACGCTGACTTTTAAAATAAGATTTTTTTTTCCAGCTAAGTTTTGCTTTTGCTCACATTAGCTTTACATAGGCTTATTTCCTTCAGCTCCAATGACATTCTTACTCACTTACACCTTGGCTGAGGACGAGATTGCTCATAAAATCATCCATAAAGCCACTTTATGTTCATCTACAGAAGTAATTCAGGTGTCAAAAAAGCCTTACCTCGGTCTCCCTTTGTCCCTGGTGGTCCCCGTAACCCTGGGATGTAAAATACATATATCAGCTGACACACATCATCTATTCATAGTAATGGCTAAGAAGGAGAGACAAATTTTTTAATCATCCTTTGCTCACACGATTTCAGTCACCAGTGAGACCAATCTTCAGCTGGCAGGGACCAGAACAACCACTTGAGTGAAGTCCTTGGAGCTCAGCTGAGTGCTCAGCTGGGCAGGGGCCAGCTTGTCTTCCTGCCAAGCCCAGCTCATGGGGACCATTGGGGAGATCTTTCATGAAAATGCAGTGAACAATTGGGCTCTGATGTGTAATAACACTGCTTGGCAGGAGGTGCTCTTTCAACGTCCTAAGTGCAGCCAGGAACATATGAAAACACAATTTTTAATTTTTTTTTCCCTTCAGAAAATCTCATCAGTGTAGCCAAGAAGTAGGGATGGATGAGTTACAGACCCGACCTAACAAGGGTTGTATCTTAGATCATCATCACAGGATCATGGAAACTGTTGCCTGGCCCAACCCCTGCTCCAAGTGCAGCCAGCATGAGATCAGGACCTGCTGCATCCTCACAGTCTGGAGATATTTACCTCCTCTGGCAGGGGTAGTCCTACCCAAACCCCCAGGCACCCAGGGCAGCAGCTTGTGCGTGGCTGTGGAGGGCAGAACTTGCTCCCAGCTCGTTCCTGAGTCTGTGCCAATGCTTTTCTAGGGACAGGGTGGGCATCGACCTCTGTGGGAGCACCTGGGCTAGCCAAGGCTCCTGGAGGATCAGTGAAAAGCCTCCACACAGGCTTTACACCTGCTTTTTACAGCAGCTCTCCTCATGACCACGGGGTGTCTGCACACTGGGTAGGGCCTGGGTCTGGAGACTGAAATCCCAAATCCTCACTTAAGCTCTCTTAGATGAAATAAATAAGAACAGAGGAACTGTGTGACTCGGTTACCAACATACCTGGTACTCCAGGATCTCCTTTGCGTCCAGGAGGCCCTGAAATAAATATTTAATGGATATTTTTCAGTAGTCAGCAGTCAGTGAGGAGCACAGCAGTATGGGATTGAGGTGTGGGCTGGAGACACAACCCTTCTGGAAGGCACCTAGAGTGCAAATCTACAAGTCACAGGAGGGAAGAGGAGCCCAGAGCTGCATGTGCAGCTGCAGGGGGACTTGGGGGCTTGCACAGGGCAGTGCTCCAGCTCCTATAGGTGCTCCCTTGTGATGGTGTTCACAGGGGTTTTAGGATGAGGGAAGAGACGAGGATCTGACTCCATGTTTCAGAAGGCTTGATTTAATATTTTATGATATATATTATATTAAAACTATGCTAAAAGAATAGAAGAAAGGATTTCATCAAAAGGCTAGCTAAGAATAGAAAAAGAAAGAATGATAACAAAGGCTTGTGGCCCAGACTCTCTGTCTGAGCCAGCTCACTGGGATTGGCCATTAATCAGAAACAACTGCATGAGACAATCATAGATCCACCTGTTGCATTCCACAGCAGCAGATAATTATTGTTTATATTTTGTTCCTGAGGCCTCTCAGCTTCTCAAGAAGAAAAATCCTAAATAAAGATTTTTCATAAAAGATGTCTGTGACACTCCCTTGTCTGGAGTTGACTCCCATCATGGGCATGGGGACATAACTAACTGACAGGGAGATTGAATCTTGCCCTAGTTATTGGATCATCTAAACTGGGTTTTCAGCCCCACTAATGCTGCAGAGCCAGCATGGAGAGCCATACCTGCAACCAAGGTGATGTTGCTCATCCTCATCATCAGGTTTGCATTGTTGCTTTTAATTATGGTGATTTCCTCTTCTAAGCTTCTCCTCCAGTTTTCTTCTTGTCCCATGAGAAAGTCCTTCCAAGTGGAGCTTCTCGACAAGGCCAGATGGTTGGCAGAGTAGCGCTGCAGAATCTCTTCTGTATAGGAGGCATTTTGCTCCTGGAGTTCCAGTATCTCTCTCTGCATCTTAAACACTGAGGAAACAAAAAGCCCATGCAGTGAATATTCGCTGCCCGCTCTGGCTGGGAAATGGGTGTTTGGCAGAGCAGCTGCCCAGCACCTGGGGGGGACACGGGGAGATAAAGACCACCCCTGTTTGACCCAGGGAGGTGCTTTTCATGTGCCAGTCCCTGCTGCAGCCAGGAGTGCAGCTGGGAGCGCTTTTGCAAATGCAAAGCACACACACACACAGGGTGGGGGAATCGCTCCTGCAGCCGCTGCTTTGCCCGGCGGAGCTGGAGGAGCCTCTCGCTCCCTAGGAGGTGTCAGACCTGTGTGCTCATCCCCACTTGCCCCCAGGCTCACCCAGCAGAGCTCTCCTTTGATGCCCAGCCCATGGGGAGGCTGTGGTGTTACCTTTGTACATCAGCAGCCCCTGGCCGGCCGTCAGCAGCAGCAGGTAGATGCTCAGGGCAGTCCGAGTGCAGCATGTGGATGCCTTTTTCTGGCTCCGAGGCTCTAAAAACCAAGAGAGGAAGGGTAGACACTCTCCCACATTTCTGCCCTACAAGCTCTGCGTGCTTGCAGCCTCTCCAGGCCTGGCCACAGTGCTTTCCAGAGGTGTGGAGCACCTTGGTCCCTCTGTGGGAGCAAGGCAGGCTGCCTTCCTCTGCCCCAGGCTTTGCACTGCAATCTGCTGTGCCATCCTTGCCTTTGCTAATTTTACCAGCTCAGCTCCATCAAGACTAAATCCAGCCTATATCTGTGTCAGTGTGGTGATTTCCCCCTTTCTGCACCAATAAACTCCTCGTTTCCATCATTTTTACTTGTCCCAGGCTGCCTTTCAGAGGGCTGCTCAAAGCAATCCCTTCTCCATCCAGAGCACTGCATACGTGTGATTCCAACAGTGATGCATGTATGCATCAAAACAAATGAAAAATCAATAATAAACTGAACTGCAGAACAAATTGAAACAAGTCATAAGATGTAAAATCAATCATTACCAGCAAGTGTAAAGGAAATAAATGGCTTTGTTGAATTTTGGCCTTCAGGGAGAAAAAAAGTATTTCAGAAGCATTGGTAACTACGTCAGACATTCAGTAAGTTACCCTCAATTGAGGTCTTTATTTTTTTTCAAAGTAATGTAATCAGGAGTTTAAAGTCTTAGTATTAAAAGAGTACAATATTTTAATTGGTTTTATAATAGAATGGCTTACTCAGCAATGAAGCTTTTATATTCAGCCGAAAATTCATAAACTTACATTTTTATATTGAGTCTGGTGATTTTAGTATCTTAACTATTACACATGAAAGTCTTACTCAAGAAAATTAGACATTTTCTAAGACAGGAAAATAACTGATTTTTTTCTGATGCTCAGCATCAGTTTTTGGCTAGAAAGGATAGCTTGACATACTTCTACTTTTAAATGGCAGTTAATTTATTAGCAAAATCACTGCAAAAAGCATTTAATATGCAATATTTCATTTTTATGTGTTGTTTTAGACCAGATAAAACCCATATAAATCTATTGAACAAAAAGAAATCTTACCACTTATCTGAAAGGTTGTGATAGCAGGTGAGGCAAACCCCATCTTTTCTGAAATACTGCAAGAGTTCATATCACTCAAATTTCTGTCTTCCCCGTATTTGTCTGTAATTTTCATGACAAATTTCTTGTGGCTATCCTAAAGCCATGGACAATAAAGAACTGGAGGTACTTCTTCTCTGCCTCCTGATTTGATATGCTTTCTGATTTGTATTTCCTATCTGCTCAGCTTTTATAGACTGCTGAGAACTCTGATGTGGTAATTTGAACAGTTCCTCAAAAAATCCCACAGCTGAGATGCTGAGCTGCTCTCGTGTGCTCAGTTGGAGTCCAGGGAGCCTTGGGAAGGATCCTGAAAGATCTTCAACCTGGAGCTAGGCATGAGATGGACATTTTATTTCTAAACAAGTAATCCTCCTCAGGTAGCCAAGAAGATTCCATGTTCAATGTTAGCTTGGCCATCACTCTCCTGGGAGGGGAGGCTGAGGACTTTGTCACAGTGAAACTCACAGTAATGTGTACCATGGTGACACCTCAGAGGCTGTGTGAGACAGGAGGGAAAGGATCAGGAGGAGCTGTAAAGACAAGTGAATGATGGTGGGATGGGGGCTGCTGAAACCCAAAGGGGTTTAGGATGATATGGAGAAGAGGCACTTGCAGCCTCCTTGAAAAGGTCTCTCCAGTTCCTGCTTCCTCCCTGATGGGTTTTTCACACCCACAGACACAATTCCTACTTCTTCACCATTTCTTTGCCCTCATCCTGCCAAACTCTCCATGGCATTTGGCATTCTGATGTCTCCATTTGTGCTGGGTTTGACTTTTGCAAAGCAAAGTGACTCACCCAGGCCCACAGGCAGGAGCTGTTGGTAGGAGCCAGGCAAAGCCCTCCTCATCCACGCTGCCAGCACCAGCTGCTGCCCTCTCTGAGGTGCAAGGCAGTCACTGTCACACCTCCTGGTCCTGGGCTGCACGTCTGGGTCCATCCCTGGGGCTGTGTCCATCCCTGGGGCTGTGTCCATCCCTGTGTCCACCCCTGGCTCCTCACTGCTCTGCTTGGCCATGGAATGAAGTGTGGCAAGGCTTCAGGTAGGGCTGAGCTGGAGATCTGGCAGTGCAGAGTGAAGCCCTCTGTTCTGCATCTGATGCACAAATCTCTGAAAGCCTTAGACCACGAATATGTGGGGATTTTTAAATCAGCTTCTGTGTTCTCCTTTCAAATGTGCTCGTGCAGCTGTGACCTGGTTTGTCCCCAGGAGGGAGGAAGAGGAATTCTCCATTTTTAAACATTCTGCTACACTCTGTGTAGGAATTGGGATAATTTGCTTCCTTGTGAAGGTCTCAGATATCCCCTTGAATCAGGGAGGCTCTAGAGGTTACCACCAATCAGCTGAGCCACTGTAAATGCCTGTGCATCCTCTCCCATCACGGCATCACCTCCTCACAGGAGTAAGGGCTCAAATCCAGCCCATTTCTGATGGTTCTGGTGGTTCAGCTGACCACTCTGCACAAGCCTGGAGCCATCTACTCTTGCTGGGTGATGAGCTGGGAATGACTGTGCTTGTGCTGCCAAGTGGATGTTTATAGGGATGGATGTGATTCAGGTGCATGCAGAGAGCAGATTTACAGCAGAGAGGCTTTTAATAATACTTCTAGTCGAATCCATTTTCTTTCAAAGTATTAAAAACAAGCTGGCAGACGTAGTTCTCAAAAGCCTTCCTAAAGACAAAAGGTGCAATGAGATCTTTGTGCCCTCCTTCCCTGAGAAAGGAGCTGAGGGATAAGTTTTCACATGATTCATGGTCATGCTGTGGCCGTGCCACTCTCACTGGCCCAGTTGGCATAGGTGTAAAAACAGGGGTAGATTCCATTAATTTGACAGCCCTGAACTGCAGTGTTTCAGGTTTTGAAGTCCAATGCTCCACTTTTGGGGGGAAAGTCATGAGCTGCAGTTGCCTACCCAGCTGGTGAAACCTTCATTTCTATTTGATGCAGGCTCATGCAGCTCTGCAAGCTGCCACATTCTCATTGCTCAGCTGGGCATTTAGCTGCCTGGGAGGTTGTGGTGCATTTCTATCTGGATGTCAGCCTCTGCAAACAGGCAGCAGATTTCCCATGAGGTGCTGAGGGTCTGGGCCACGCCCTGGTGCCAGAGATGTGTCCCAACATGCTGGCTCAGCCTCTGTGTGTGCTCCCGTCCTGCTTTCTGCTGCCTTTCATTTCTCACTGCACCATCACTGACTGCAGCAATAGGTTGACTCTGATTTTGCAATCAGGACAGGAAAAAGAAAAGAAACTGCTGATTCAGTGCAGTCTCCCTAGGTTGATGTTCTGCTGAAGCAATGGGGTTATTTATAGATAACAGATTATGGGACATTATGGGACACGTATGCTGGGCCTCAGCCTTACCCTTCAGGCTGTTTGTGAGAAAGCTCTGGTTCCTCTCCTCCTGCTGCTCATCCTGCCTCCCCTGACACTCAAGGAAGAGCTTCTAGTCCTGCAGCTCACCCCTTTCCTTCCTACATTCATACAGAAGATGCTCCTCACGTTCTCACTCTAAGTGTGCACCAACATATGAACCAAGTTTTATAAACTGACCACAGCTGCCTCAAAGTCACGGGCCTGGGGGAACTGCTGGTGCTGGGAAAAGGAAGTGGCCTGGAAGTGGCTGGTGGAGCAAAAAAGTCCCTGGCCATGCCCACCACCTTTCTCATCTTCCATCACTGTTGTCCTCTGCAGGCATTTGCCACCACCAAGAGCTCATGGCAAGGCAAAGGGATGCAGCACCAAGCTCCAGCCTGGCAATAGCTGAACACATCAACAGCCTCCCAGCAGTGATTCTGCCAGGGAGCTTGGGCAGACATCAGCCTCCTCAGCATAGCCATTTATCCTGAAAAAACTGAAGTTGTGCTTCTTTAAAGACTTTTTTTTTCCCTGTGTGAGATGTTGTAGCTCAGAGGTGTTTCTCCATTTACCCACAAGATGTAATTTTCCCAAACTCATCTATTTGATTGCAGACTGTCTCAGGCATAAATGTGCAGCATTCAGGAGGTTTTCACTCCTCTCCAAGGAAGTGTATGGCATAAACAGGGCCAACAGTGGGTAGGCTGGTGCAGGAACCTTCACCATTTCTGCTGTTGCCTCTAGACTGAAGTGAGGGCTGCAGCCAGGAAAAGTGACAGTCTGCCCCTTATCCTGATACCTGCACCCCTATTTCTGTAGATGGGCTTCAAAACATCACAAAGTAATCCTGCCACAGACCACACTGCCCTCCCACAGAAAAAAGCAAGCAACTGTGGTTGACCTGTGACACATCCCATGCACGTCCACCACAAAGCCAGCAATGACCAGAGCTGTACAATTGCCTCATCACAACCTTGCTGGTAGACTAGCTTGTTTTTTTTTTTTTTTCTATTTAACCGGATTTTTCAGTCTTTTGTCTTTTTGCAATGAGCAAGTTTGATGAATTTTGATGTACCAGTTCTTGTGGTGGATTTACTCCAGCCATCAGCCAAACAGCCACCACCAAATGTGGTCTCAGTCCTCTTTTGCAAAGGATGGGGAGAAAATGGAAGGTGAGAAGACTTGTGAGTTGATATAATGACAGTTTAATAGGGAAAGCAAAAGATGCACTTGCAAGCAAAGCAGAAAGAGGAACTCATTCTCTACTTCCCATGAGCAGGCAGATTGGCAACTGCTTTTGGGAATTGGAGTCTCAGCATGCACGATGGCTTTTTGGGCTGACAAATACACAAACCACAAACCTCTCCCCTTCCTCCTTCCTCCCCTGAATTTCTAATCTCTGAGTTTGACATCATAGGGTGCAGAACATCCCTGGGCTCAGTTTGGGTCACAAGCCTGGCTGTGTCCCTTCCCAATCTCTTACCCAATCCCAGCCTGCTCCCAGGCTCAGTTTTGTACAAGCTCTACCACCAATAGCCAAAAAACATCCATGTTAGCAACAAAACATCTGTGTTAGCAACACTGGCTTAGCCCCAAACCCGTGGCACAGCACCATACTGTGTTGGCAGAGATCTCAGTGTTTATCCTAAAATACATTGCTCTCCCCAAGGAAGGAGCAAGGACTCTGGTGCCCATGGACTTCAGGAGACACTGCTGAATCCAGGGGATGCCAAGGCAGGTTGTGGGTGATCTGCCCACCAGTAGATCACGGAGGTACCAGATCTGAGATCTCCTTTGTGAGTGTCCCATGAACTGCCCAGCTCAGCCCTGGTCAGCATCCCCTGAAAAAGAGAGTATCCAGCTCCGAGGGCAAGAAAAGGTGCATTAGATGGAGATTTTCTGAGCAGAAATGAGGCTGAGGCCAACACACAAGTTCTAATGCCAGGGCATTAAAACAAACCTTGAGTCTGGACCCATATGGGACCCTCATTGTGAAGCTCCCCACACCCCTGCACAGCCAGACCTGTGCTCGGGGGGTCTGGCTGCTGCAGTAGCACCTGGGTTCTTCTGGGACTGTGGAGAAGCACTTGTGCTAAAGCAATAAAACCCCCAGCACTGCCTGGCTGACATTTCTCCTTTCTAGCTTGATGTGTTGCTTGGCTTTGTTGTAGAGATTGAAAACAGATTTTCTTTCCCTTCTATGAGTTATGTTAATTTGTGTTTCATCAGAACTTGCCTCTTCTCCTCCTTTCCTTTTTTTTCCCCCCTCCTTTAGGCTGGATCCAGCTGCACCATGAATTCAAGGAACCACCTGTAAAATATTTTAATGACTTCAACCTGCTCTTTGAGGTGAATTAATACCAGGGCAGCCTCTGCAGCCCAGTGAAATAGTCAGGTTTGGCTAAGCAGGCCACCCTCAAAGCTGAAAAATATGTTCTGCAAGGCCAATGTGCCTGACAGGCAAGTTTGTTTTCAAGGTCCTCGTGCAACATCTTCCTCCTCACCTCCAGAGCATTTGTCCCTTATTCAGGTAAGAGCTGATCCCAAGGACTGGATGAGACAGGCTAAGAAACAGGGGGGTAATGAGACATCACAAAACCAGTCACGTGGAGGGTGGGTTAGATCTGCTCATGGTCTGCTACAAGCAGCACAATTATGCTGAAGGGGGGGATTTCCCAGAGCTGCTCTGCATTTAGCAGCCCAGTTCTGTTCCCAGAT